GAAGAGGTTCGGAGAGAGAATTTCAATGTTTGGGATTCAGAGCAATGACCAAACAACAGCACTAACGAAGGCAGGAGGTCGATGAGAGCCTGCATTTCGCGAACTGTAGTATTCCCAGGGGGGCCGTAAGGCTGGGAAAGATTACAGAGACAAGGAGGGACGAGGCCACTAAGAGATTTGAAAGAAAGGGTGAGAATTTTAAAACTGAGCTGTCAGAGCATTGGGAGGTCAGCGAGCACAGTGCGTGATGGGTAAACAGGACAGTGCAAGTCAGGATATGAGCAGCTGAGTTTTCAATTAAGCTAGAAATTCACTCCCTGTTTTTCTTGCAGCTACTCACTACACATGGCTCTTATGGACTTTCCTGCTGTGTCACCTTGTGAACTTGGCCCCAGTTCCACATTGCTAGAGATTTGGCTCGTGCTCCAAAGAGAAAATCATAAATCTCCGAGGTCAGCAGTGGCTGTCCTTCCATTTCACATACTGACCAGAAGTCACGTGTAACACGAAGAACACCCATTCCACACACAAACTGGCTTGTTTTGTTTTCCCTTTTGGCATCTTTCTCAGCGTGACATCAAAACCTACCCAAAAATTCATAAGGTTTAGAATGGAGGACAGAACGCAGTATTCTTGACAGAAAATCCTTGCCTTTATACAACAAACCCACAGCACATCCCCAAAGTGCTAACACCTGAAGAAGGAGCGAGACTCCGAAAAGCTTGTGTTTTCAAATAAGCCTGTTGGACTATAAGCTGGTGTTGTGTGAATTTTCACCTTGTCCACCCCAGTCCAACAACGGCACCTCCACATCAAAGTGCTTCACAGGCAATGAAATAGATCAGAAGTATTGTTGTAACATGGCAGCCAGAAATGAAACAAAGATCTGGAGATCAGAAACAAACAAGAACAGAAAGTACTGGATAAACTCAGCAGGTCTGACAGATGACACAGAAGTTGGTGGAGGGACAGGTAGTGTTAAGGAAGCGGGGAGGCTGCAGAGGGAGTTGGACGGGCTGGCAGAGTGAGCGCAAAGAAGTGGCAGATGGAATACGTTGTGGGAAAGTGTGAGGTTACGCATTTTGGTGGGAAGAACGGAGGAGTAGACTATTTTCTAAAAGGGGAAAGCCTTTAGAAATCTGAAGCACAAGGGGGCCCGGGAGTCCCAGTTCAGGATGTAGAGAAGATATTTCCACTAATAGGAGAGACTAGGAGCCAAGGACACAGGCCTCAGAGTGAAGGGACAATCCTTTAAAACTGAGATGAGGAGGAATTTCTTCAGCCAGAGGGTGGTGACTCTGTGGAACTCATTGCCACAGAGGGCTGAGGAGGTCAAGTCATTCAGTGTTTTTAAGACAGAATTAGGTAGGTTTTTGATGAGTAAGGGGTCAAGGGTTATGGGGAGAAAGCAGGAAAATGGGGTTAAGAAGCGTATCAGTGGAGTAGACTCAATGGGCTGAATGGCCTAATTCTGTTCTTATACCTTATGGCCTTATCTGTGGAGAGAGAATCAGAATTAACGTTTTGAGCTCAGTGACCTTCCCCAGAACTAGAAGCAGCTAGGTAAATGTGGTATACATGCTGGTGACATGAGGACTGGGTGGCGGGGCAGGGTGTCATGTAGCTGATAGGTGGAGATGGGACCCAGAGAGGGAGAGAAAGGAAAAGGATAGCCAGATAAAGGGATTGTTCATGGTAGGTCAGGGAAGAAAAGAAGCTCAATATGTAATATTGGTGACTAAGAATGGGTGAAATATTGACGAGGCCACCTGGGAAAACTGTCCTTCTTGAAAATAGTGACCATTGGATCTTTTAGTTCTACCTGGGAGGAGATTGCACCTCACATGTACAGCAGCCCCTCTGGCAGTGCAGCACTCCCTCACTACTCCAAGTCTCCGCAATGGGACTTGAACCCACAACCTTGTGACTCACAGGCTAGAGACTTCATGGTCCAACACGGGATCATTTTCTCTATAATCTCTCCACTTGCCACAGAATTGTGAAACGTTTTGAAAGAAGATATCTGTACATATTTCTGGTATTTTTCACTTACCTATCGCCACTATCAATTTCTAGTTACAGATAGTATCAATCACTGTTTACCAACTGCTGATTCCCACTGTCATACCAGCCTGACCTGGCCCTATGGATTAAGGCAGCCCCCAGATGGGCATTTGTACCGAATGCAGCAACGTTCAGATTAGCTCCCATAATATAACTCATCTGATTCACAGGCAGTGTGTTGGCATGGATAAAGAACTAGCTGAGCAAGACAAAGCGATTGGGGATATGGGTTTTTTTCCCCGTGTTGGTGACCTGTGACCAGTGGGTTTCTACAGGGATCAGTGCTGGGACTACTACTGTTTACAATATATGGAGGAAGGAAGTGAATGTACTGCAGCCAAATTTGCAGCCGAGCCAAAAATCAGAGCAAAGGCAAGTTGTGAGAGGGATACAAACATTTTACGGAGAGATATCGACAAGTTAAGCAATAGGAACATAGGAATTAGGAGCAGGAGTTGGCAGTTCAGTCCTTTCAGTCCACTCCACCATTTAACATGATCATGGCTAATCTTATCCTGGTCTCAATCCCACTCTCTACCTGCTCCCAATAGCCCTTTATCCTGCTTTTCATCATAAACATATCTACTTCTTCTTTGAATGTGTTGATCCTCTCAGCCTTTTTCTCTCCAAGGAGAACTATCCCAACTTCTTCAATCTATCCTCAGAACTGAAGTTCCTCATCCCTGGAATCACTCTTGTAAATCACTTCTGCGCACAAATAAATTCACATCTTTCCTATCATGTGGTGCCCACAGCTGTACACAATACTCCAGTTGAGGTCAGACCTGTGTCTTGTACAAGTTCAACATCACCTCCCTGCTCCTGTTCACTAAATTGATGCCAGAGATGAGGATGTATCTTATGAAGACAGGTTGAGCAGTTTAGGTCCATACTCTCTGGTAAATAATCTCTCCAATTGTCATAGAGAATCCCTACAGTGTGGAAACAGGCCCTTCAGACCAACAAGTTCACACTGACCCCCAGAGCATCCCACCCAGATCCAGCCCTCTATAACCCAACTAAGCTACACATCCCTGAACATTATGGGCAATTTAGCATGGCCAATCCACCTACCCTGCACATCTTTGGACTGTGGGAGGAAACCGAAGCACCAGGAGGAAACCCACGCAGACGCAGGGAGAGTTGCAAACTCCACACAGACAGACAGTCACCTGAGGGTGGAATTGAACACGGGTTCCTCGCGCTGTGAGGCAGCAGTGCTAACCACTGAGCTACTGTGCTGCCCCACAAGTCTGTACCAAGTGTAAGCTACATTGCAGGAACTCAGCAAGCATCTTCCAAAAGCACTACCCTACCCACAACCATCATCATCTAGAAGGACAAGGGCAGCAGGCACATGGGAACACCATCCCCTGCAATTGAACAAATAACACCCCACCTCCTCAGCTGTGTACACTCAGTATCGTAAATAATGTTGGGGAAATCACAGATTCACATGTAGAAATATGAACCCAGTCTATTGTATCCGGTGCTCCTGATGTGGTCTTCTCCATGTCAGTGAGACCAAACGTAGAGTAGGTGACCTTTTCGCTGAGCATCTTCGCCTGGCCCGAAACGGCAAGCCTAACCTCCTGGTTACTGCCCATTTCAACTCCCCCACCCCCGCACTCCCCCTCTGACATGTCCATCCTCGGCCTCCTCCAGTGTTGCTGTGACACAGAACGCAAATTTGAAAAACTACACCTTATCTTCTGCCTGGCACCCTACAGCCAGGAGGATTCAACATTGAGTTCTCCAATTTCAAATAACCTTCCCATCCATCCCCCAGCTCCCTTTCCAGCCCCACCTCTTCCGTTCCATTCCACCTTCTGACCCTTCCTTCCAGCCACCAACCAGATTCATCCCTCCCACCGACCAACCAAGTCACACCTACTACTAGTGTCCACCTATCACCACCATTCTGCTACCCCTACTCCCCTCCCCTTTATCTGCAGCACCCCCTACCTCCACATCCAGTCCTGAAGAAGGGTTATACCTGAAACATTGACTTCTCCTTTCCCCCAGATGCTGCCTGGCCTGCTGTGATCTTCTGCCTCTATTACCCTTACAGACAGCAAATGCTGGATTGCCACCACCCTCCAGTAAACATCTTGCCCCTTAGCTTCAATCTATGCCCCAGTCATTGATCTCTCCATCAAGGGGAAAAATTTCTTCCTATCTGCCCTATCTCTGCCCTTCATAATTTTATCCATCTCAATCGCCTCTGCTCTAAGGAAAACAACCCCAGTCTGTCCAATCCCTCTGCATCACTGAAACTCTGAAGCCCAGGCAACATCCTGGTAAATCTCCACTGCCCCCCGTCCAGCGCTATCATATCCCTCCCATCATGTGGATAATGGGGACAGCAGTGAGGACTTTGCCAACTCAAAGAGCACAGAGGCACAGGAGGAAGTCTCCTTGATCTCCTTGGTGCAGGGAGGTTAAGGGCAGATTTAGTGGAAGAAGTGAAAAGCATAATGGGTTTTGATCGCATAATCAAAGAGGAACCCCAGGAGGGTTGGGTAAATGGAGGTTGTACATTTAAGATCATTGGCAAAACCACCAGAATGGAGTTGAGATTTAATTCCATTTGTAAATTGTTCTCATCTGAAATCTGTTGTCTAACAGAGCAGTGCAAGGCAATTCAATGTTAACTGTCCAAAAGGATTGCAATAGAGACTTGAAAAATGAAGAACTTGCAAGACTATGAGGAAGGGTTTAGGAAGTGCGATGAACTGGCTAAGTCCACAGATAAATATTAATGCAAGACCGAACTTCTATCAACTAGAACAGTCCTCCACCTCCCACAAATCTGGACATCACTACTTTACAGTATTTTGAGTTTTAAAGCAGTTTATAGAACATTATTTCATCGTAAATCACAACATCGACTTTCCAATAGCAAAGGAAACTGAAAAACATGGAGAAATCCTTACGATGTATGGGCTGTTTGGATCAGATGTGATGGACTCGTTCTGGAGAGTGTTCTGCTGAGTAATCACATCCTCCCTCTGGTGCAGCTTCTGGTCTGAACGATCGTCATCGTCGGGACTCTGGAGGGAAAGCAACGGAGAGGTTTTCAGAAAGTACAAAAGTGTAATCCACTGATCAAACAGATTTCACTTGTGATCTGCTGTCACTTTAATAGGTTATTCTGTCCAGCTTTTTTCGAAGAAAGGTACCAAGCTGTCTCTAAGAATTTGTGAAGGCCTTGGGGTTTTTTAGTTGGAACAATGGAAGCAGCCTGGGTGTGGTAGGCTCTCACAGACCAAGCTTTCCAGTGTTTTTTTTAAAACAGTTTTTAGGTTTAGTTTTAGGCAGAAGCCTTTGAGGTCTCAAAAGAGTTGGAAGCTTCAGTGAATGTCTTCTAGCTGCTACTTTTTCTGAATTTTCTAGATTTTTTTTCCTCCTGGGTTGGAGAATTGCATGTGAGAATCTGTGTCTGAATCTGTCTTTTTGTGAAGAGGTGTGTTTATGGGATGTTACTATATTGGAACAGTCAATTAGAAATAGGTACTGTATCTATTATTTGGTTAACTTTTCCAATTGTTGTTATTCTAAGTTCTTCTTTCTTTTGTGTGTATTTTTAATGAAAGTGTTTAAATAAGTTGTGTTTTGCTTAATGTCAAGTAGCTTGACAGTCTCGTCACATCTGGAACACAGCACTTCGCATCTACCTTTGAAATAACAAGTTAGGGTCTAGGCTACATCCTCCCTCACCCCCATCCCAGGCCCCAAGAAGACTTTCCACATCAAGCAGATGTTCACCTGCACATCTGCCAATGTGGTATACTGCATCCGTTGTTCCCATTGTGGCCTCCTCTACATCAGGGAAACCAAGCGGAGACTCGGGGACCGCTTTGCAGAACACCTACGCTCGGTTCACAATAAACAACTGCACCTCCCAGTCGCAAACCATTTCAACTCCCCCTCCCATTCCTCAGACGACATGTCCATCCTGGGCCTCCTGCAGTGCCACAACGATGCCACCCGAAGGTTGCAGGAACAGCAACTCATATTCCGCTTGGGAACCCTGCAGCCCAATGGTATCAATGTGGATTCCACAAGTTTCAAAATCTCCCCTCCCCCTACCGCATCCCAAAACCAGTCCAGCTCGTCCCTGCCTCCCTAACCTGTTCTTCCTCCCACCTATCCCCTCCTCCCACCTCAAGCCGCACCTCCATCTCCTACCGACCAACCTCATCCCGCCCCCTTGACCTGTCCGTCCTCCCTGGACTGACCTATCCCCTTCCTAACTCCCTACCTACACTCACCTTTACTGGCTCCATCCCCGCCTCTTCGACCTGTTTGTTTCCTCTCCTCTATCCCTCTTCTATCCGCCTCCCACTCTCTCCCTATTTATTTCAAAACCCCCTTCCCCTCCCCCTTTTCTGATGAAGGGTCTAGGCCCGAAACGTCAGCCTCTCTGCTCCTATGATGCTGCTTGGCCTGCTGTGTTCATCCAGCCCTGCACCTTGTTGTCTTAGGGTCTAGGCTACCTTCTTAAAATAGTTTGGAGGGGATATGGGTCTGGTTCATAACACACAGATGTGAGGAACACTGGTTCCAGAGTTAATGACTGTATTTGAAAATATTTTTAAAAACCAACCTGTTCAAATGTGTTATGGAGCAGTCGGGGCTTGAACCCAAATCTCCCAGCTCTGAGACAGAGACACTACCATTGTGCTATAAAAGTCTTCTTGCTCTAGCTGAATCAAATAGCCCCTGATAATTGCACCTGATATCCAGCTCTATTCCAATGAAGATGACGGACCCCAGCTCAATGCAGCGTTCGCAAATGCACCAAAGGTGGCTTTCCAGACCAACCGGCCTGAAACTGTGAAGCGCTGGGCCAGAGAATCAGCAGGGCTTCCACATTTACCAACTCACCTCGTTCTCTCTTCCCAATCATGGACGGGATTACCCAGCACTGCTCTGTGCTGTCAACATTAGCTGGGAACCTGGATAGAACTCAAAGAGTTCCCCAAAATGAGAGAAGGGTGGGGACAAATATCTCCTTACACGCAGGATCCGTTGGAGCCTTGCTGAAAGGGATTGATTGCTTTACTGTCATTTTTTTAAGTCAATCTGCTTGAATATGTTAGAATACACCTCTGCAGCTGTTACATCCTGGCATGAGACTTGAACCTTCTGCCACATGACTGCTACTATCATCACATATTTAACAGATATATTATCACTCTATCATATAAAGAGGCCACTCAGTCCCTCCAGCCTGCCCCACCAGTCGAGTAGATTATGGCTGATCAGGTGGTTACCAGGATCAGAGAAGACAAACGAATAGTCCGTGGACTTTGTCGATTAATTCCCACGTTTCCACTGTGGCTGACCCACAACAAATTGCTCTGTTTCCATTAAGAGAGACAAATGTTTTGTCCTGATGCAAAGCTGCAGGAACTTCACTAGTGCGAGAAGTGTGGACTTGTTGGGCCAAATGGCCTGTTTCCATACTGTGGGGATTCTATGATAAATCTGTTCCAGAATCCCTGTAGTCCCATTACAAATTATTTCTGTGCAAAACAAAAATCAAGAGCAAAAAATAAAGAACTGGGGACACTGGAAATCTGAAACAAAAACTGACATTGTTGCAGAAACTCAAGCAAATGTTGTGAAGAGTTTGAGATTTTGATACAACTTTAGGTGACTCAGTGGTTAGTGCTGCTGCTTTACAGCACTAAGGACTTGCGTTCAATTCCACCTTCTGGTGACGGTCTGTGTGGAGTTTACGCATTCTCCCTGTACCTGTTTCTCCTCCCACAGGTAGGATGGATTGGCCATTCCGAATTACCCTGGTGTGTCCAGGATTAGCTGTGGGAAATGCAGAAATGGGAGGAGGGCACCTGGGTGAGATGTGTTTTGGAGGGGTTAGTATAGACATGACAGGCTGAGTGGCTTTCTTCCACACTGCAGGGATTCTATGACTCTTTGGGCACTTGCCAGTGTCTGCACAAGGTGCCCTGAGAGGAGTTGCCAATTCCATTGGATGTATTTCTCATGGTCCCATCATGATACCCCCTGCTTCCATATGCCCCACCAGCCACTGCCCATTGGGCAGGCCCAGCCTCATAGTGCCCTGGTTTCCTTGAGCCAAAATCTGCAACCCCATCCCTAAGGGCATTGTGTGTCTACCTACAGCACAGGGACTACAGCAGTTCTGGGCGGTAACTCACCACCACATTCTCACGGGCAACTGGGGACGGGCAATAAATGTTGGCTCTGCCAGTGACACTCCCATCCTATGAACCGGTTTTAAAGAAAGCCAATCAGAAAGCAAATAAAACTCTTTATTGCACACCTGATGGTTTCACAATTGTCAGTCAAATTGGTTCTTCTCATATTCAATCATTTTATTTCATTCAACAAGGCTATTCAACCTCATTGGCTTATTTTCAAAACACCATTTTGTTTTTACACCCTCTCCCTGGGTGATGTTCACAATGTTTCAGAGTTTATTTTTTTTTTAACATCTGAAGGGTTGGGAAGGTAAAGAACAAATCTGTATCTCTCTGTCAGACACAGAAGCAGCTTTAAACCAGGCCACTGTTTGGATCAAGAGTTGGAGCAAACAGAGATTGAAATTCAAGATATGGCCTTTCACATGGAAAACCAGTGGGTCAAAATGAACTTACTGAGTGAGTTTGGGAGCTCACTAAGGAGGACTGGAATTCTCCGAGAGGTAGGGGAAGATCTGCCAGTGTTGTACTGAGCGCCGATCTGGAGTAATGGTGTTCAGCTCTGGGCACTAAACCTCACAGAATCAGAGTCCGTAAAGTACAGGGAGAGGCCATTCAGCCCATCAAGTCCACATCAACCCTTTGATGAGCATCCCACACCCACCCTATACTCATAATCCCACAATTATCACACCTACCCTGCATATCCATCGACACTATGAGGTGATTTAGCATCATCAATCCACCTAACCTACACACCTTTGGACTATGGGACAAAACCACAGCTCCCACAGGAAACCCGCACAGACACAGAGAGTACACGCACACTCCTCTCAGGCAGTCGCCCAAGACTGGAATTGAACCCAGGTCCCTGCTGCTATGAGGCAGCACAGCTAACCACTGAGCCACCATGTCATCCGCTGAGGGAGAAGATAGTGCTTCTCCTGCACAGGGTGCAGAGCAGGTTTACCAGAATGATACTGAGCCAGAATGGTTAAATTAGCATTGGTTTGCATTGAGTATTGATGATTATGTTGATATTCTTTCTGATGTGTTGAGGTTGATTACTGAGTTAGGACGGGCTGACAGAAAGGAACACTGATGAAGAGTGGTGTAATCTTAAAATGAGAGTATGGCATTCCGAACCACTTCTTCACACAAAGGGTCATGGAAATTTGCAGCTCTCCCCACAAAAAACCTGAAGACCACAACTCTTTGAAACTGTAATATCAACAGTTTTTTATAAAAATGAAACACTGCAGCTGTTGGGCTACTGAAATTTTAAAAAATGGAAGATACTCAGAAGGTCAATAGATTTTAATTGGATAAAGAGGTTAAAAGTTATAGAACTAGTGCAGGTAAACAGTCAAGATACAAGATCTAACTGAACAGCAGAAGAGGCTGAATGGCCTCCTCCTGTTCCTGGATTTCATGGATGTTCACCTTATCCTCAAAGATGCTTATCTAGCCCCTTGAACTTCCGTAACACCTAACTTTGTGGGAGGCAAACTAAAACGTTGTTACTTTCAGAAAGATGCTGTGGAGAAATTCCTTTCCAACTCCCTCAGGCAACTGAGTAAATCTAGGAGACCAGCTATCCAATGACATGTCATCAGACATACTGAACTAAACCCCCCACGATGTCTCCCAACATTCTTACAAACAACGAACCAACATTTCTGGTTTGTTATGGCTCCAACGAAATGGAATCTGGAAGCTGAAACGTTATTTCTTTCCAGAAAGGATGATCTACACCACAACTGCGGTTTGTTTCCTGTTAGCTTCACTTGTTGAGGAGGCTCTTCAGTTTAATCTCCTGCAGCAAGTATTTGGAATTTGCTGTGAATGCTCAGTCCAGTGAATACAGTCAACACTCAGATCGATGGACTTTTGCTCTTAAAGGAATCCAGGCATGCGGTGAACAGTCAAGCAAGTGGGTTTGTGATGAAGGATCAGGCCACAATTGTATTCCATGAAGCAGCAGTCTCAAAAGGACCACTCTTGTTCCTATTACTTAAGGTTTTTTAATGTAAAGGGGTCTGTTAGCTGGGCAGCTGGTTCATGATGCAGAGTGATGCCAAATTCAATTCTTATACAGACTGAGGTCACCATGGTACCTTCAGGTTAAACCACCACCAGTTATCCAGGAATCTAGGACCATGGCAACTTCACCTGTTATTAAAGAAAGGGCATATAATTAATTGAGGGAGGAAACCAAATAGTTAATAATAATGTAATGCTAAGTTAATGTGTACAGGATGTTTACAGTCTACAATCAGCAGATCTGATTGTCAGATCTTCCAGCAATATGGCAGTAGTTAGAAGTATGTAAAATCACAAATGGCTTGTGCTCGAATGCAAAGTCGTCATATGACCAGTGGATTCAAACTTTCCACATAACTGCCCAGAGAATACAGTACAGATTTTTTAGCGGTAGCACAGTGGTTAGCATTGCTGCCTCACAGCGCCAGGGACCCGGGTTCAATTCCACCTTCAGGCTGTGTGGTGTATGCACATTCTCCCTGTTTCTGTGTGGGATTCCTCCGGGTGCTCCAGTTTCCTCCCACAGTCCAAAGATTTGCAGGTTAGGGTGGATTGGCCATGCTAAATTGCCTATAGTGACTAGGGATGTGCAGATTAGGTGGATTGGCCATGGGAAATACAGAGTTACAGGGATAGGGAAGAGGCCTGATGCTGGGACTAGGTGGGGATGATCTTTGATGGGTCAGTGTGGACTCGATGGGCCCAATGGCCTGCTTCCACACTGTAGGGATTTTAAATATTCGACTAAAGAAACAGAGAATTTCACCAACTGCCTCTACAAATCTCTGACCATAATTTACATTTCCTCAGATTATCTCTTTCATCTCAATCCAAATAGATAAACCTTATCTGATAAATGTTTTGAGATAACAAGGTGTAGAGCTGGATGAACACAGCAGGCCAAGCAGCATCAGAGGAGCAGGAAGGCTGACGTTTCGGGCCTAGACCCTTCTTCAGAAAATGAAGGGTCTAGGCCCGAAACGTCAGCCTTCCTGCTC